ATATCTTCTTTATGTTTTTATACACAAGAATCCAGTTTCCAGTTCGCCCTGCGTTTGCGATAACTATAAACAATTCACAAGGCCAAAAACTTCAAAACGTTGGAATTTGGCCCCAGAAAGAAATATTTACGCATGGCCAGATGTATGTTGCATACTCACGAGTAAGAAATCCTTATAATTTATTCTTAAAAAAAATTCTTAAAAAATATTGTTTACTATGTAGTCCTGTAAAGCAGTTATTAAACCGTAGGGTTTATGTTAAAGTATTTTTCCAAACAAATCATCTTACTCAAATTTCATCAATTCGTCTGCGAAATCTCGACAAAAAATGTTAGCGATAAAAATACTAGATATTGTAAAGATATCAATAAAAAAAGTTACCGAGAAATTCTAGTATTCTTTTTTTTCAAATGTTCTTTACTCTGTTATCGATTTGTTAATTTCATCATCAGAAATTGATATATTATGTTAACATAACAAATACAGTTATTCTGTAATCTATATTCTATTCATTACCTAAGTGATCAGTTTTTATATTATCGAAAATTTAATATCTATTGTTTTATGAGTTTTTGACAGATGTTAAACATTTCTTTCTTTCTTTCTTTCTTTCTTTCTTTCTTTCTTTCTTGTTCTAGAGCCAGAGGTTTTATGTGAAGGATCTCTCTCACAATGAGATGTTTTCGGAAACGGCACGCATATAGAATTCTAATGTTATCGACCAGAATATTCCTTATGGGTTGTTGTAAAATGTGGGCGCCTAAGTGACATTTTATGGCAATTTCATCAGATAGGTGGCGCGCCATGCGTCTACATTTTTTTTTAAATAGAAAGATACGAACTCGAATTCCAGTCAAGCTCAAAACATACATCTTAAACACACAAACATAAGAAAAAAATCTATTAACCAGACTTAAGAACACACCCCTTTTGAAAATGGCTAAAGAAGTCACCGAAAGAGTTTGGAATAATGGACAATACGAATAATTTTGCACTGCCTTACATCCAGCAAAGTGAAGAATATAAGAATATTGTAACAGCTAAACAAAAAAATAATCAAATTTTCCTTGTCTGTCATAATATTTAACGAAACATGTTTTAAAGAATGGTTGTTGTCAAAATAAAATATTATATATATATATATATATATATATATATGTATGTGTGTATATATATATATATATATATATATATATATATATATATATATATATATATATATATGTGTGTGTGTGTGTGTGTGTATAGCATAAAATTTAGATGAGCTGATTCCGCTACTTTGGTTTAAACCTTTCGGTATCTTCCGGCGATTTTGGCCAATTCATTTCTTAACGCTTTATTAAAAAATAAATAAATAAATAAATAATATCAACGCCACATTATTTCAAAATAAACAAATAAGAACACGGCATGAGGGGTGGTAGAAGGTGAAGAGAAGGAGGAGGAGGAAAGTAAGTGTACTGGAAGTGTATCGGTTTAGAGGGTGGGATATAAATGAAATATACATACATTCTTTTCATCCCACTTCTTATGAACTCAAAAGGAACTTTTTAGTATGTGTACAACGGGTCATAATTTCCGTTCTCTGATTCAAAAGGTTTTTGATCTGGAAATGTTATTACAGCTCCCTTTTCTTGTTGACAAAGTTTGCAGGCATTACTATGATTGTTATAAGGTTTTACTTTTTTAAAAACATTCCACTTTACAATCGAATTTTTTTATTTATTGTAATTTTGTCCTTTAATTTCCGATATATATATATATATATATATATATATATATATATGTTGTAGACAGCACAATCAATATAGTATGGTGATCGTCAGTTTAACGCTTCAATGCGATCTTCCGATCAAGTTTCACTGCTTGTACTGAAAATTACATTGAGGCGTGAATCTAACAGCAACCAGTGTTGATTCCTATATATATATCCACACTGTCTATAATGAATTTATATACAATACCGATCAAACAGTGCGTGAGATAGATATTATGCCTGCCTCATAAAATATATTCATAATAAAAATCTTAGATGGATTTATGAGGCAGGCATAATATCTATCTCACGCAAGGTGAATACTAGACCTGGCTTCTTTAGTTTTTCCCCTTTTCTAGAAAGATTAATGCTCGACAAACGTACATATAAGTTTTAGATCAAAATAAAATTATTTTCAATTTTCATTCAAAATACTATATTTTAGGAATACGTTTTCACAACATCGCCCACGTGACGCCGACGTGATCATATTGTGAAACGGAACGCTGATCTTGAAAAATTTCACTTGTCTGTTTTAATTAGTCTTACTCTTATGTCCATCGTCTTTTCATGTTGAATTAAATATAGTCTAATGTTAATTATGTTTTATGAATATGTTCTGAAGATGGTCTACTAGACCGAAACGTCAGATGTTGACATTATATTAACATTAAAACAGAATAATTGCATATTAAGATTTTTGTTTGTTTTTTCCGTATATTTTTCTTCATAACATTATATATAACATCATATATATAACATCATATATATCACATATAACATCATATAATATATATATATAACGTCATATAATATCATATATAACATCAGATAAAATGTATCATTTAATATCATATATAACATCATATAATATCGTATATAACATCATATATATAAAATCATATAATATAACATTATATATATCATATATAACATCATATAACATCATATATAACATCATATAACATCGTATATAAAATCATATAACATCATATAATATCATATATAACATCATATAGTATCACATATAACATCATATAATATATAAAACATCATATAATATCATATATAACATCATATAATATCATATATAGCATCAGATAAAACGTATATAATATCATATATATATATAATATCGTATATAACATCATATATATATATATAACATATAATATCGTATATAACATCATATATATATATATAATCATATAATATAACATTATATATATCATATATAACATCATATAACATCATATATACCATCATATGTAACATCGTATATAAAATCATATAACATCATATAACATCATATATAACATCTATAACATTATATTCTCTCATAAGAGAAAAGTCAGAACTACTTGCGTAAGAGTTGCATCTAAATTCGATAATCCTATAATTTTTAATTTCAGATCCTTATACTTGGAGAGCTTATCAAACTCTTGAGCTGAAATACTTTTTTTATCAAACGATATGATGCTATGGATAAGATAGCATAAATGTTGTTTGATCTCGTTTAGGAGCATATCTAGTTTATTAAAAATTATGGCGCCGTCGGCATGTATGTTGACGTTCCAGAATAACGTAACATCATCACATTCTTGTGGCATGATTGATTGTTTTTTACGGCCTATCAACCACTTGCAGGTTATTTAAAGCCACCAAAACCTTTTTTAGATTGTAAGAATTTTTTTACTGATTGATCGATTCATTTTCTACGGCATATCCAACATTTGCAGGTTATTTGAAACCAGAAAATATTTTCAGATTTTTTTTTATACAATAATGGCTTAGTGATCCAAGTCTTACTAATTCACCCATAGTTGGATTAAGAAGAGGTGGATCCATGCCTTTCCCAAGCGTATTTGTATATTAGGGAATATAACGAACCCAACAGGAATTGGAACTCGGCTCTCCGATTAAAAATTTCGAGCCATTATTCATTACACCAACCGTACACCCACGCTTGCAGCACATGGTATTCTCAAGTGGTCACCCATCTAAGTCAAAAACAGGACCGACGTTGCTTAACTCGAGTGATCGTACGGGAAGCGGTATTTAACTATGATGTGGCCATAAGCCGAATTTTGTTTTAGCTAATATTAATTTACTGATAAAAATCCGACTAATTAACCCGTAGCTAGGGGAAAAAAGGTAGGTTAATATCTTTATAAAGGGTATTTACGCTTATATCAATACAAAGAACTCGACAGGAATTTGAACTCGTCCCTACGATTTCCATTTCGGATACGTTATAGATTACAACATGCACACATCCAAATATAGGTCACGTGATATTTCCGAACGGCCACATAACTAGGTACTGAACCGGCTCAAAGTTGATTAATTTCGATGATCAGAACACAACCGGGGTTTCAACGTGACATGGCCGTAAAACATGCCACACGCACATACAAGCTTGCAGCACTAGTAATCCCAAGCGGTCACCAATGAAGACATTGACAAGGCTCAACGTTGCTTATATTCGGTAATCGTAAGAGAACCGGGGTTTCAACGTGATATGGCCGTCAGCCATATCTCTGGCGCATCCAAGCTCACAGCAACTGATATTCCGAAACGGTGACCCATTTATGTACACACAAGACTCAACGTTAATTAACTTAAGTGATCGTACAAGAACAGGAGATTCAATGTGATATGGCTGTAAACCATACTACCCGGCACATCCAAGCTTACTGCACGTGGTATTCTCAAGCAGTCACCCATTTAGGTACAGACGAGTATCAACGTTGCTTAATTTCGCTGATCGTACGGGAAACGATGTTTCAACGTAACAAAACCGTATTTCTTATCACACATACAAGCCTACAGCACCTGTTATTCTCAGACGGTAACCCATTTAGTTACAGACAAGGATCGATGTTGTTTAACTTCAGGATCATACGAGGACCTGCATTTCAACGTGATATCGCCGTAAGTCATATCACACATACATATCCAAGCTTATAGCACTTAGAATTCTCATCATCTTGCGGCCTCAGCCGAGATTGAACTCACTAATACTTTGATTGGTGTAGTTCATAATCTTGTCAAGTAGCTGAATTCTTGATGCTTCTCTAGGGCTATCAAGGGTGTTTTTATCGTGACACCATCACTAAATGGATTGCCAACCAAGGCTCAGAGAGACTCCATTCCCCCTCATCTAAGATCTAAGGTTTGAATTCAGAGTTTTCCTTCTCCTAGACCAGTTGCCATCCAAGGCTATAGAACCCAGTCTGTCCTGCTATTTACCCATAGCTGGAGGGAGAAGAAAGAGGATTCACACCTTTCCCAAGGGTGTTAGCACGCAAGTGAATGTAATGGATTCGACTGGAATTCGAACTCTGCTCTCCGATTCCTCAATCCAAACCGCTATCCATTACTCCACCGTGCCTCGTCTCAATTCTAATTCTTGGAATTCTAAAGCGGTCACCAATCTATGTACTGAGCAGGATTGACGTTGCTTAACTTCGGTGATCATAAGAGAACCGGTATTTCAACGAGTTATGACCGTAAACCATACCACCGTCACATCCAAGCTTACAGCACCTTATATACCTAGGTGTCACCCTTGTAGGTACGAACTATGTCCGACGTTGCTTAACTTCGGTGTTCGAACGAGAATCGACCTTTCAATGTGTTATGAACGCAAGTGCTTTGGAGCGGCTATGCCTTTTATCCTATGACTTTTCTGTATAGGGTAAGGCATAATGTTGATGAATCTTCCAGTGAAAAGGTTGCCTACTCAGGATCAATGTTGACCAGTGCGTCAATACATGGTGGAACATTTTCACCTTGTTATCGTCGGGCAACTGACAAGCAAATCTGTCGTACTGAACGCGATATTCACCAGGACATAGGGCACCTCGAGCTTGCCTCGCTAGAGCAATTACGACTGAGTAGTGAGTTCGATCCTCGCTGGGTACCCCCTATTTTCGGCCTTGTGCCACATGTAAGTTACGCTTGGAAAATCACTTGGGCACCTCGGCGCGGTGTAATGGATAGCAAGCTCGTCTCGATAGAACAATTACGGCTGAGTAGTGAGTTCGATCTCGCTGGGTGCCCCCTACTTTCGGCTTTTGTGCCACATGTGTTACGCTTGAAAATCACTTGGGCACCTCGGCGCGGTGTAATGGATAGCAAGTTCGTCTCGATAGAACAATTATGGCTGAGTAGTGAGTTCGATCCTCGATGCAACCCCTTTACTTTCGGCTTTGTGCCACATGTAAGTTACGCTTGGAAAATCACTTGGGCACCTCGGCGCGGTGTAATGGATAGCAAGCTCGTCTCGATAGAACAATTACGGCTGCGTAATGAGTTCGATCCTCGCTGGGTACCCCCTACTTTCGGCCTTGTGCCACATGTAAGTTACGCTTGGAAAATCACTTGGGCACCTCGGCGCGGTGTAATGGATAGCAAGCTCGTCTCGATAGAACAATTACGGCTGAGTAGTGAGTTCGATCCTCGCTGGGTACCCCCTACTTTCGGCCTTGTGCCACATGTAAGTTACGCTTGGAAAATCACTTGGGCACCTCGGCGTGGTCTAATCGTTAGCAAGCTCATCTCGCTAGATCAGTTACACTTTTCGGCCTTGTGCCACATGTAAGCTTCGCTTCGAAAATAATTATTCACCAGGACGTAATATATAGATTAGAAGCCACAAGAGCTATATCAGGTGTAGCATCAGGGCATTTATTAAGATTTATTGCGTAAACTATAAAAGTGTGGCACAAGGCCGAAAAGTGGCGGGATTGGGTTGATTTTGGTCGTCACTCACTATCCTATACCTCGCTAATCCGATTCAGGGCCCATTCATTCGTTATAATTCACCCATTCACCACAAAAACCCATTCATCGCCAATCAATCCTCCATAAAACATAATACCGCATACTCTCAGAGGGACCTAAAAAACGCACTCCATGACATAAAATTTTCATTTAATGATTATAAAATGCTATACATAAAAATTTATACATGATATAAAATGAGAGGGGAGGGGATGAACCCCAAAAAACAAACTAAAATATCAAAACAAACAAAATAAAGATAACTGATGTTAGTTGAACCCGTCCAGCCCTCAAAAAAAGAGAAGTCGCTGTATTTTGCCCTACGACAGAATCAAGAGGCTCTTTCGCAAAGGAGAGGGAAAGAAAAAAAAATATATATACGCATATGGAGATTTCTCTTTAATTTATTTATTTCCAATATAAAATCGATGTTTTTTTTTTTTGTTACCATTGTTTCTATGAACATAACATCTCAAATCAATGTTTGTTTTTTTTTTGTTACAGATCGAAGATTCCCATACTTACTTGTAGACCATAAGAGGGGTATAAAACAAGAAAATCAAATTATAAAAAGTGAAACAATTTATATATATATATAAATCAATTAAGGTCTTTACAAAACAAGAAAAAAATGAATGTATTTTTGGTTGATACAAGGTCGTCAAAATGTTTGTAGTAGTCCTTGCAAGAATGAGTTTATGTGTACGTAAGCAGGAACGTATATGTGTATGTATGTATGAACGTTATCGAAGGGTACGAATGTCTTTGAAGTAACCGCTCAGTCTTAAAATTTTCCGTTCGTTTATCAAGTATAAAAGAGATGAGGGAGAAAGGTAGAGATAATAATAACGATCGTTTGACGTTTGTCAAGGGACTTGTTAATACGCTCGTCTCCTTCTCTCTGGTGACAGGCGAACTTGCCCGTCTTTTATTTTGTTTGTGGGGCTTGAAAAGGTCATTTGAGAATTCACTCCCGGATATGATTCTAGCCTTTCCATTGGACGACGACAAACTTCGTGTCGGCTCGCGAAAAGGTCCGTAAAAGAATTTGTTTTGAGATTTGAAGATTATTTGAATTTTGTTTCTAAATGTTTCCTAGTTTTTTATTGGCCGAAAAAACATTTTGCATCAAGGTGTGAAATTTCACGAGTTTTGTTTCGGATTTGCTTTTGCGTTTGTGTCAAGCAGAGTTTGTAAATTTGAGTTTTTTAATTTCTAACAAAATCAATGAGTCAGTGCTTAGCATTTGAATTTTAAATCTAGATCTTGTTTTGCTCACTACAATATCAGTCACAACTTTCAGGCACATTCGCCCCATGGTTTTATCTCAATGTAGTTCAGGAAATTACACTTAAAAAATTTCTAACTATATTAATAACAGGGGAAAAAGGATAACTCTGCTAGCAACTTTGTATTAATAAAATAAAAACTGCGTAACTGTTCGGAGAAAAGATTAAATAAATATCTCAGCTTATAACATCGAATATCGTGAAGAGAAGTTTAAATTAATTCCCTTGTGTCTCTTAACAAATCAAAACAGACTCAATATCCCTTCTTTTTCCGGTGGGTAAATGCAGTTAGAATTTATTGAATTACGTTGCTCACATCTGAAATATAGTCAACCCATCCTATAATTCAAGATGCCAAGATGGTGGTCAGTGATATACGGAAGCGGTAAAACTTGTTATATTATTGTTTGTTTGTGGACACAATCATTTTCCGTGCCAACAATGTGAAGTTGGCATTTTAATATTGGCTTCAACGCAATTGCAGCACTGGAAAGCATTTAATTTAAACTTAAATATTAATAGGAAAGTATAGTAAAAGTCAAGTGTCTACTAACCGGGATATAAGACGCAAAGTTTCTTTTTCAGAATGCAGACAAACATGGCTCTCACACCTTCCTATTCTTCCCATTTACACAAGCTCGTAGAGATAGGTTATTTCCTGTTTCTCTCCTACCTTCAATAGATCTTGTGAGTGTCAAATTCTCTAAACACTTTTTAATCATTACGTGTCCCAAGAATTCCAAGTCTCTTTCTGATCCTAATTACAAGTGTCTTTTTTCATTATGGTGAAATCTTACTGTTCCATAACATTTTGCTTAGCTTCCTGAAGGCATCTTTCGCTATTACAATGCGTTTTTGTTTTTAAACTAGTACAAGTGTCTTTTTCATTCCAATTTTCCTTAAAGCTTCCTCGTTTCTCACATTTTCTGTCCATGATATTCTCAGTATTCTTCTGCAGAACCATATCACTTTTCCCTCAAGTTTCCTCTTCATCTGTGAAA